GCAGGGAGTCAGTGTCCCTAACTGCTGTGTTGTTCAAAGGTCAACTGTATTTAGATTTTAAATGTTGGCTAGCTAGAAGATGTACAGAGAAGGAATATGACTTGGATGTATGGGAATCAAGTGTAGGTGGTCTGTGTTTGTCTGGATTCAAATATACGAGGATTATGAGGCACCCAAAGAACTCTGGGGGCTAAGGATGGCAGGAAGGCACTGCTGCTCAGGCATCTGAGGCAAAGGGTTTAGTGCATGGAGATAAATTTGGGCCTAGAGAATGTGAAACCTCAAAGGCAAATGAACCGAGATTAAGGGACTTAGAAGTTAGGAACAACTAGAACCCTCTGATGTCAAGGGATTAATTTGCAAGAGGCTTGCAAAACAACATACAGGTTTATCGATCATAGCATCCTGCATCAAGGACCTGGGGACTTTCCACAGAGGAATGCAGAGCAACTCAGGGTTAAAAGTTATATGTAACAGTAAAGTCCTTTCCCTTCTAAACTGCTCAAGGGAAAAGAAAAAGAAGGAGAAGGAGGAGAAAAAGAAGAAGGAGAAAAAGAAGAAAAAGGAGGAGGAGAAATCTGAAGCCCTAAAAAACCAGCCTCTTAGGTATCTCAGTAGAAAGATGGAAAACAAGATAAGAAGCTTTTTTTTTTTTTTTTTTTTACTTGTGAAATACATGCAGGGCACTCTTGTCCCCTCAGGGAGAGAAAGGAGAAGGAGTTTCTTTAGTACAGGCATTCAGGGGAAAGAGGAGACTTGAATGAAAAGAAAAAAATTCTACTTCAGATCCTGGACATGACCCCAGACCCCAAAGAGAGGAGGGAGGCCAGGAGCTGCCTGAGTGAAAGTTGACCCAGTCTCAAGGACAGGGAGACAGATCCTGAGAGAAAACCCAGAGTAAGGGAGCAAGAAGCACAAATGGGGGACCCCAGAACACCTGATACTCCTTCAGTGCCACTGGGACCACTTTGTTTACAACTAGAAACTCAGGAAGTAGACAAAAGATATAGCTAAATGATAAAACAGTAAGCTGCAGAAATCACCTATCCATATGTATATGCTGAGACACACACATGTCTATATGCCCGACATGGAGGGATGCATTTTATTTAGAACTGGATGGATACCTATCCACAGTTAGCATGGTTACTGGGCACGGGAGAGGGGTGATGATAAGGGGAAGCTCTCACTGTCAGCTCCCTTTATGTATTCCTTGAATCTTTTCCCGAGAGAATATAGTCATTTATTTACAAAGTAGTAAAAAGGGAAAGAAAGAAAAGAGAAACACTCAAAGCACATCCTAGAAGAAGGCACCAAAACCAAGTTTCAACACCTCTTATTCCCCTCATTCCTAATTCCTTCCTCCCACTAATATGCTTGCTTTGGAGAAGGGAGAAGGCTTTCCATTTAATTAAAATGTAAAATACATTCTTTTTTTTACTGCCTGGTGGCTAGGGATATTCTGCTGACTCAGCAGTGAATAATCAGCTTTGACCTACATAATAGAATAACTCAAAGTGGCAGCTGCAGTTGCATAAGCAGATCCAAATCTGCAGTTCCTTCTCCCTCCCCCCAAGGCTCCTTGCAGGCAAGCCAATTCCAGCAGGTTCTCTCCACCTCTCCAACCCCCATCCGGCTGTCCCACCACCATTTTTCATCCAATGTATTCTGACCCCACCAAAGAACCACACTTGACCTGATCTCCCTCCCACAGCCAGTGCCAGGCAGGGGCTTTGCCACATGGATCTCCCTGCTGGGTTCCCCACTTTGTCTTCTAGCTCTCTCCAGAACACACCAGTGACCTCTCCACAGAGGGTGGCCTTTCCCTCAAAAACTCTCATCCTACAGTGGGTCAGCCTGCCCTTGGCATGCCAGGATGATCCAGCAGAAAACAGAGCCTCTGGTTAAAATACACTCAGAAGAGCCCAAGCTCTCCACTGGTTCTCTCAAAAATATAGCTGGACTGGGCCACACTTGGCTCTCCTGCCAAAGAGCACCAGGCCTATTTTCACACAGCCGGCTGGCCTGGCACTGGCTAAAAGGACAGGGAGCCTGGGAAAAAAAAGGTAAGAGCATTTAAGGAAAGCCTTCCTGACCATTTGGTTCCTATTTCACCGGATACCTTTTTTTTTTTTTTTTTTTTTAAGATTTTTATTTATTTATCTGAGAGTGAGAGAGACAGAGCATGAGCGGGGGAAGGGGGCTGGCAAGGAGAGGCAGAGGGAGAAGGAGACTCCCTGAGCAGGGAGCCCTATGAGGGGCTCCATCCCAGGCCCCTGGGATCATGACCTGAGTCGAAGGCAGATGCTTAACCAACTGAGCCACCCAGGCGCCCCTTCACTGGATACTTAAGAGATGATTTGAGGGGCCTGTGAAAGTGGGCTCCAGAAAAAAAAGTATTCAACAAACCAGAAAACAGAACCTTTCTTTGCACAGACTTGAAGCAGCTGGGAGTGTCTGGTGAGAAAATGTGAGTGTGTGGCTACATCTGCTCACACACCCCTGCAGGGAGAGGGGTCCTGGGCTCCACATGGCCTTCCCATCTGGGAGGAAGGGGGTGGCACAGGATTAAGGTGAGGACCTGTTTTCCATTTCCCCCAAAAGGAATAAGGAGAAATAAGTTCAGGTTTAAGAAAATTTTCCTCCTTACGAAGGTGGAAAAGTACTTGAATACCTATCTCAAGGACACTGAAAAACTCCTGTCTCTGGAGGACAGGACTGACCAATGTTAAGTTCAAGATAATCTCCTTGAAGTTCTCTTTAGGAGGCAGAGGACAAACCAGATGAGCTTTACTGAACCTTGGATGGCAGAAATTGGGAGATGAGAGACTTTGTCATGTGGTCTTCAGAATTTTAAATTCTAATTCCTCCTTCCCTCTGTGCTAGCGGTGTCAAAGTGAGAGGTGAGCTGTGGAGGGGATGGCACGCAACCTGTCTTTCTGGAGAGGCAGACAGTCCTAATTTCCTGTCCTGAGGGGACATCTGTGGGGCTGTATTACTGCAGAGGGTCTTTGCAGAGGGGTCACCTACCCTTGGCAGGTTGGGGGTAGGCAAAGGAAGTTGTAGGGTCAGCAGTCCAGGGAACTCTATCCTATGGCCTGCTTTCTCTCCTTGGTGACCAGTGTGAGGGTTCTCAATTACTCATGGGAGAGTAAGGGCGGCTTCTTGTCTGAGACACTTCAGCAGTATCAGCAGGAAAAAGGAAGCAAGTCTGCGTGCACGAGACACTGAAATAACAGTGGCCAGCACTTATGGGGTCCCTCTTCCCACGCCCATTAACCTGGCTGATGGCAGAAACAGCAACTCTTCCTGCATTCCCATGCCCCTCCCCACACCTCTCCCTCCCAGCTCTGGATCCAGCTAGCAAGCAAGGACTGAGTGACTACCCTCAGGGACCACCCTCAGTGGCTACATGACCCTGTGCTAAGAACATGTGTTGTCTCATGCAATCCTTGCAACCATGACCTCCTGTGGAGGCAGGATTACAACCCCCTCTCACAGTGGGGTGGGGTGTAGAACTTTGCCAAGCCTTTGCCACAATTAGAAAATGGTGCAGAGAGATACAGCCTCAAGCAACCTGGTTCTGGAGCCCACATTCCTTTGCCTCCAGGGCCATAAGCAGACCTGACCGAGCATAAGGAATACAGTCCAAACAAGTATCTTGGCCCCAGAGTACCACCTGTCTGGATGGTAGGGGTTTAGCCCAGGGCTGAATATCACTGCCAAAGAGGGCACACTTGCCAAGAAGACCACTCCTTGGATCCCAGCTGGCTGCCCTGTGAGAGACTTTGGGGTGGGCAAGTGATGCCTCCCTCCCTTTCCCACCAGCACGATAGAAGGAAAGTGTCAAGACCTGGGAAAGGGTGTGGCCGGGATGGTCACTGCTCTCAGCTAAGTGTATGTGTGTTGAAAAGCATGGTAGGGCAGGGGTCATGTTAACTCCAAAAGTGGAGCCTTTGAAAAAAATCCAAATATTTACTTTGGAAATTAGTTTTGTGGGGGGCACCAGGAGGGCTCAGGTGATGGTCTTGATTTCAGCTTGATTTCACCTTGATTTTAGCTCAGGTCATGATCTCAGGGCCCTGGGATCCAGCCCCTCATCAGGCTCCCTGCTCAGGAGGGAGCCTGCTTGTCTCCCGTTCCCTCTGCCCCTCCCCCCCAAAATAAAGAAATAAATCTAAAAAAAAAAATTAGTTTTTGGTTTAAAGATATAAAACACCCCAACCCATTGAGATCCCTGAGAATTCCTTAAAGTATGAGTTGCAGAACTTCTCTACAATAAATCTCTAACTTTTCCAGCTCACACACATCTTTCCCCCTTCTCTGAATTTTTACTGCAATTGACTCTTCACCACAGAACCTGTGTATATAGCTTTTCTCCCCCTGTTAGGCAGGAAACATATCAAGGGTGTGGGGAACCACAGAAAATGCATTTATGTTCTCCCAACTCACATGTTTACACTCTCCTCCCAAAGAGTTTTAAGATGTGATCTGGCAGATTGAGGAGGAGGTGGATGAAGCCAGAAAAATCTTCCTGCAAGCAGCAGGAAGCTCCAGCATAGTGTACGGCATACGTACGTGCTGGAAAGAGAAGGAGTCAGGAGACCCGGCTCCACTCAGGGCCTGCCACCTTGGGTATGTCACTTGCCTGGCTCCTTTCCTTATCTGCTTTAGGAAAGTGATAATCCAGGCCCTGCTTACCTCATGGATTTGTCATGAGGCTCAGATCAGATAATATAGATGAAAGTGCTGTGAAAATTACTGTGCCTCTGAGTAGCTACCAGCATTTCTTCTTCTTCTCTTTTTTTTTTTTTTTTTTTGAAAACCAGCTCATTATTCAGAATCAATTCATCTAAAGCACCCATGTAGGAAAAGCAATGGGGGGAAATAATAAAGGAGGGAAGGAAAGAAAGAGGGAGAGGCAGGAGAACCGGAGGCATGCGGACCGCCAGGAAGGCCAAAAGAGGCCATCCTGAGAGCAAGGCCCAGATGGCACTTACATAAGCAGATGGCAGCCAGGAGTCGAAGGCCAGACTCTGGGGGGAAGCAGGTGGGGAAGAGCGGCTGCAGCACATAGTTGGAGAAGGTGAGGGCGATAACAGCCTGGTTGGTGGGGTAGATCACCAGCACTGCAATCCATAGTCTCAGGAACCTGAAGAGGGAACAGGACAGAACTTGACCCAAGACAGCTGCAGGGACCCCCACCCCCACCAACATGCATGGCAGGGATTCACGAGTCATGGGGGGAAGGCTGGGCATGTCACTAGGCAGCATTAAGAGAGGTGGGTGGGCTAATGGGGTGCATCTCCTTATTGTTTTCTGGGATGCTGAGGAGCCCAGTCCCTGCTCAACCAGACAGCCGGCCCTCCGCAATGACAATAAAGTGGTTTGACGACGAGGGGTGAAGAGTCTGCTAGCATAAAAATACGTCTTGGCTTCGTTTCTCTCTCCCCTGTCCTCCTACTGTCTCTTCTCTATGCTCTGGGCCCCAGCATCCAGTGGTGGAAAATAAAATTGGCAACCCCAGAATTCTGACAGCCAGGACATGCTTAGGGTGTGGCCGCTTAAGCAACTGCCAGGAGTGGCACTGAGCGGGGTCATGAGAGGGAAGTGCGCTCCACACCCTTGGCCCCTTGGTGAGCGCTCAGCTCCGCAGTAGCAGGGCCACAAATGCTAAGGAAACTCAAGCTCAGGGCCTGGCCCTTCAGGAAGCCATCATCCTTGGTTGTGTGAGAAGGGGGTACCCCATATCTTAGGTGGTCACTCTAATTTGTCAAGATAAGATGGCTTTGTTTTGTGATGTGCTTTCCCTGAGAGTCTACAGTCAGAGTTGTCATAAAGTTCTATTTGCTGTCACCCATAGAATCTTGCCCGCTGAGGTCAACAGAGAGGTCAAAACTAGAACCTGGTTCTTCTGCCACCCTCAGGAGAATCGAGGGGACACATAGCTACACTACACGACCATGACAGGGAGGCAAAAGAGGAATCCAAAAGAGGAATCCTTGGCACACTGGCAACCACTGGCCTCGGCTTCTAGACCACCCAGGCCTCCACAGATCCTCTTACCCAGCCAGTCCTCCAAAGATGTCCTTGACGTAGGAGTAATCACCTCCAGATTTGGGGATGGTGACCCCAAGCTCAGCATAGCACAGGGCTCCCACAGCGGTGATGAGACCAGTCACAATCCAGACAATGAGAGCGAGACCCACAGAGCCGGCGTTCTCCAGCACACCTTTCGGCGAGACGAAGATTCCAGAGCCAATGATATTCCCTGTATGAGGCACCAAAGTTGCCAGGAGAGACAGTGGAGTCAGCACAATTGATAGGACTGGCATTCGCAGGAGTGGTCTCATCTCTGGTTTGATTCTAAAATGCTTTTGGAATGCATAAATCACCTTCAGGCAGGTGTGTCTAGTAGTAATTTACATGTCTCCTTTAGTCCTCAGTATAGAGTCAGATATCATTTCTCCCATTTTACAGAGGAGGAAACTGAGTCTTAGTGATACCTAGTGCACTGCCTGAGTCCACATGGTAGTAAGTGGTGGGTTGGGTATTGAACCTCAAGATCCTGTTACCGGACTGTACCATGGTCCACCCGAGGTAACAAAGGTCTTAAGACTAACAAAATGGCAAGACTGGAAAAGCAGGCTGTTCTCAGAGACAGTCTGCAGAGTAGAAAGCTTCAAAAGTGAGCCTAAGGGCAATACATTTCAGACAGACTGTGGTCATACCCCGTGACTGGGGATTTTCAAGACTTATGAGCCTCGACAGCACTCCTGGAGACTGGCTTTCACCCCAGACAGGACAGCCCCACTCTTGGTGAGGAACATGAAATAACCCTATAAAAACAATCCTAAAAATAGTCCTAGTCCTACAAAGTGGTTCATAGAAATGCAATATGTGCAAGGGTTTAGCACTACATTCTTGAAAGGTTGCCCCCCTTCATTGTTTCATGTGACCCTCACAGCAACCTTCTGAAGTACAGAAAGAGGAGGAAGAACAGGTATTCCTCTATTTTGCAAAGAGGCTAAGACACAGAGGGGCTAATTGCCTTTTCCAAATTCCACGGCTACTGACGGGTAAAATTGGATCTAGAAGTTGGTCTCCTGATGCTTAATCCAGTGCACTTTCCACTAATCTATTTCTGCTTCTGTGTGCAAGGGGCTGACTTTCTCCTGAGAAATGAGGCTGGCAGCAAAGATTGAATGGTTGGCTTTTGGGATGTGTGTGCTGGGTAGGGGAGGAGTAAGAGGGTGGGAGCAGCTCCTGACAATTTCTTCCCAAGCTTCCCTCTACTTCCTGTGATTCAAGGTGGTGATCAGGGTGCACTGCACAGGTGCTTTGAAAACTCTCTCTCTGAGCCCCACCCAGCTGTACTACTGAAAGTCTGAAGGAAGAAGCAGAGACCAAGTGGATCCAGGTAGAAATGGAGAACAGGAGTATTATGAGGCCAGCCTGGTTTGACAGTGTTCTGAGGACATCTCATATTCCTACCACTTCTCTTAAGGGGTTCAGATCTGGGCTGAACGAGATGCAGAGTATAGGATTTTACACTCAACTTGCAAAAATGACTTTCAGATCTCAAACATAACTCAGCCTCAATCCAGTCCTGAAACTTTTCGCTTCTAAATCAAAATTCAGTTTTTAATCCCAGGCCATGCATCAGTTATTTCAGTCAAAGGGGACAAGAAGAGAATATTCACTTTCTAAAAGCAATACATTTTATTCCACTGGGATGGCTTTTCACACTAAAAAACTGTAGTGTGAGATGAATGGGAAAGGGAAGGGCTCTAGGCAGGTGGAAGAGCAGTAACCATGAGATGGACATATAGGATCTGCAGCTGGATGCAGCTGGAAGGGAAGCACATTTGTCTCAAACTTGCCTTTCTTCTTCTTTTTTTTAAAGATGTTATTTATTTATTCATTTATTTATTTATTTATTTATTTGTCAGAGAGAGAGAGAGAGAGAGAGAATGTGCACACAAGCAGGCAAAGTGGCAGGCAGAGGAAGAGAGAGAAGTGGGCTCCCTGCCAAGCAAAGAGCCTGATGCGGGCCTCAATCCCAGGACTCTGGGATCATGACCTGAGCTGAAGGCAGTGGCTTAACTGACTGAGCCACCCAGGCATCCCTCAAACTTGCCTTCCTTCTCTGCAGATAGTCCAACCCAACGGAACTGGGCCACATATAGAGATGACGCTAAAAGAAGAAACAATACCTCATGTTCAACTTTGTGATCTAAACATGAGGCAAAGAGAGATAGAAAAATGAGATTCTGGGCCCCACAGGTTCTTAAGGGCTTTTCCTTTTCTCATACATTTATTTTAAGTCCTATGAGTCCTGGGTGGCTCAGTCGGTTAAGCCACTGCCTATGATAGGAACAAGAGACACCTTTCAGTGCCCCCTCTCCTCCACCAGTCTCCACGTGTGCTTTGCATGAAGACTGGGCTAGTGGAGACTTGGAGGCCTTCTAATAGTGTGCCAGGACTCAGGACACAGTTACCCTGGCAGGTGACCCTTAATCTGCCAAGCGAAATGTGCTGCTGCCCTCTGGAAGATACCAAGTGCCAGAAGCTGAGAACTGGAGACGGAGTTGCTAACAGGGCAAAAGGTGATAGCAAACTCCTTGTCTAGCAGGAATTTATCAGAAGAGTAATTTGTAGGGCACTTCAAAGGCAGCCATGAAGAGAGTAACACACCTAGATTATAAAACTAGTTCAAGAGGTTAGAAAAACAGTCAATACAGGAGAAAAACAAGGTTTGACTTTGGTCTGCAAGATACTGCAAGATACTGATGGGGGAAGAGGCAGGTGTTTCTCAGAGCCAGGAATGGCTGTCACAAGGAGGAAGTAGTTGTGAATGTTATTGAAGAGATCCTGTCTTCCCAGGAATGAAGTGTCAATGTTCCACTAAGGATTCTCAGAAAACAAATACCACAGTGGGGCTCAGGAAGCGCTTCTGTTCTCCAGCTTTTGTTCTGGCATTTCCAGAGTGTGTGCTCCTTTCCTCATTCCAGGTGGAGGCAGCCACTGAAAGATGGGATGTGCAACACCAACAGCCATTTACATGGTCTGATCACTTCCTGCCTCCCCTTATTCTAGATATGTCCTTCCATGGGGCTGTTGGAGTGATGGTGAGGTTTGTAATAAGTTGACATTAGGACAAGAATCTTCATTTTACAAAAATTGAATTCTACCCCTTGCCCTACAATCTTAATTTTGGCCAAATTAAAATTACAAAGATAAAAACTTAAAAAAAAGGGGGGGGGAGAATTATGCTATAGCCAAAACGGAGTGCTAGAGAACAGGAAGATAGGAATGTCTCTCTTTGATTCTAGGAAGCTGCTACCTAGAAAACCAGAATCAAATAACATTTCCTCCACCTGAGCAGCCTCTGGAGCTTCTGGAGGGGGAAGAATGTCAGACATAGCTGAAAAAACATTCACATTACATTTACTCAAAAGTAATGTCTACTATATACAATCTTAGTGTGATTATTTGATTAATATTTCTCTCTCCCACTGGACTATAAGACTCATGACAGCAGGGACTCTATGGTTTCCCTTCACCTGTAAAGTGTCACACAGTAGACACTCCATATATGTTTACTGAATGGTGTCAGACTTCCATCTAGAACTTAGCTCCACAGAGCACTATATGTGTTTCTTTGGAATCTCCAAATCCTGTGAAGTATGTCAAGTATGTATGGCAAGCCAGTGAATAAAGCAACCTACTTATTTCACTGCTGAAGGGTGATCCGGCTATTATTACCACCTCCAATTTTTTTTAAAGTTTTAATCTATTTGAGAGAGAGAGAGAGTATGAGCAGGGGGTAGGTGGGGAGGAGCAGTGGGACAAACAGATTCCCTGGGGAGCAGGGAGCCCAAAGCAAGTCTTGATCTCAGGACCCTGAAATCATGACTTGAGCCAAAGTCAGACGCTTAACCGACTGAGCCATCCAGGTGCCCCTACCATCTCCAATTTATAGGGGAGGAAAATAGGGCAACTATTACTTCAATTTTCCAAATGGTAAAAAATGAGGGAGGTATTACCATCCCTATTTTATGGATGAAGAAACTGAGACACAAGTTGTTATTTTCCTAAACCACAGAGTAAGTTAGTAGTAACTGGATTAGAACCTAAATCTTCTATCGTAGCCTCAAGCTTTTCTCAGGGAATAGTCGGTTTTACCAAGATGATGCTTATTATGAGAAGATGCTTATTAAGATACTGGAACACATATCCGATTCCTTTCTTCTACCGCACCATGTTCGATGGTGATTTACAAAGTGTTCTCATTTGTTACTTTATTTGATTCTCAGAACGACTTTCCTAGGTGCACAGGGTGGATATCATCATTCCTATTTACTTTTGCTAAGACTGAGTTTTAGAGAGGAGAGGAGACTTGACCAAAGTCTCACAAAGCATAGGCAGCAAGGCCTGGACTAGAGGCCAAGGCCTTGGACTTCCAGCCTGGGTTTCCTCCACTACTCCACATGGCCTCTCCTCTAGAAATTGCATAATAGGACTTTTACACTTGGACCCTGTCCAAATGAGGTTTTTCTGGAGTGGCTCTGAAAAGGGAGAAGTGGGAAATGTCTTTTCTATTTTGACTATGAAGCTTTCTTGAGAGGCTGGAAGAAAGTTGATTACTGTGGAGATGTGTTTCTCCATTGTTTTACTTTTAGACTCCTTGTCTATAAAACCATTCAAGAATGAGATGCCCATCCATCTAGTATAGCTGAGGTTTCAATCCTCCCTTTCATCCACCCCAATTAGTAAAATAATCATGTTATCACATAGATCTTCTTTGGTCAAAAGAGGTCCTAGGATGCCTGGACAATGAGGCCCAGCTTGGCTTCTCCTATCAAAGAAAAGCTAAGCAAACCACTCCATTTAAAAAGAGGCCAAGTTGTATCTGTGGGCAAGTCTTCACTAGAGAAATGTTGGAATTAAGAAAATCCATGTTTGCCATGAATAACCACTGACTTCCCCACTTGTGGGCCAATACCCATGTGACTCCTATTAAGGCTTTATTCACATCCAGGCCTGTCCATACTAGAATGCTGCAGGCATCAAAGAATTTCCTAGGGCATGGATTTACAGACTTCTAATGCCCAAGAGACCCTCAGATACAAAAGGTTTTGGCCTTCCTTAATAACTTATGCTAGTCTTAGAGTCTAGTCAGAGCTCGTCTTATGGCTTGGAGGTTCTGTCCATTTCCATAATGTTCAGAGAAAGCCAAGGTGAACTTTCTTTCTTTTCTTTTCTTTT